CCCAGAGTCCCCAGGGCTGCTGTGTCAGAAAGCACAGCCTATGCTTGCTTAGGTTTAGCAAGATGAATTTGCTGCACATTTCACCTCCAGAGTCCAGGCTCAAAAGCGGACACCCCCCAGAGATAGATAAACAAACGCGACGTGCAGCTTAAATTAATGCAGGTTAAAACTGCAGCAGGCCGGGTTCTCATCTGCATCTGGAGCTACTCCATTGACGGTTTGTCGCTCCACATTTTTGCTGGGAGAGCTGGGGCAGAGGGGAGGGGAGGGAGAAGCAGGGAAGGGGTAGTGCTTGGGTCCCATCAGACTTCAGCGTTTTGTGTCCCTGCTGTCACAGTCCACCTAAACCCTGTTATTGGTTCCACTTTTACCTAATCCCTTTGCTTTGAGTAGGCATCTTGTGCATCTGGTTTACTGACCAGACGCCCAGGCCCTTGTTCCAACCACTGGACAACACTGCAACTAGAACACTGGAGTGTTGGCTCCATCCAGTTGCCTTCCTCTCTCTCTCTATCAGCCCTACCCCCTGTGTCCCTATTGCTACCCAGCTCACATGAGCCATTTTTCTAGGTTGTTTTTTTTTTTTGGGGGGGGAGGATCTCTGATTTGGTCATTTTAGGATGAGGTGTTGCAGGGCCTAGTTTAAAAACAAAGCCTTCTTGGGGTGAGGCCCAGTGGGGCACTGACTTTGCAGCTCGCCCCACGCTGATTCCTTCTCCAGGCCTTTGGTACTTGTACTAGAAGGATTCTCAAACTTCCTTGTGCCATGACACCCTTCTGACAACAAAAATTACAGCTGAAGACTGGAGAAGGGGGGGGACCAAAACCCGAGCCTACTCAGCCCCCATGGCGGGTAGGGGGCAAAGCCTGAGCCCCATGGACCTATGTGGGGGGGAGGGAGGGACTCACCTGAAGCCTTCTCACCCCTTGGGCTAAGCCAGGGGCAGTGGGACTCAGCCTTCAGCTTTGGCTCCAGGCCCCATTAAAACAGCATCACGCCCTGCAGTTGGAGAGCCACTGCGCGAGACTAGAACCCCTGTGGGAGCAGGGGTGATGTTCTGAGGGGGTTATAGAAAATCAGCCCCGCCACCGTCCCTTGACAGCCTTTCAGTTTTGGAGCCAGCTCCGAGCTGCCCCAGTTGCGACTTGATCTGCATCCTGGAGCCCAGCCCCCTGCTCACCCCCACGCTTATCCCATTCTACTCTGAACACTAGGCCTCGCTGCTTCCTACTGGACAGACTCCACAGCTGGGGTGGGGGTGGGGGTAGGGGCAGCACTCCAGCCCCATACTTGGATCTAGTTCTTGTCCTCTTCCACCATCATGGCTGGCATCCCTGGGTTGAATAAAGTTGCACTTAGCTTGCCCAGGCTGTGGGCAAAGGCCAGTGGGGGGTTTAGGGATCTTTGCCCCGTGGCCCACTCGGCCAGCACCTGCTCTGCCTCCCTAGGGAGATGGCGCAGGAGGTCAAGGCAGAGCGGAGGAGCTGCTGCGGCAGATTGGATCCATCTAGCCTGGTGTCCCATCTCTGACAGAGCCTGAGGCCAGCTGCTCCAGGGTCAGGGCAAGGAGATCTGTTAGGGGTAGTTATGGGGGATGTGGGGAGGGGTAATGTCCCTTCCCTATCTCTGGTTCTTCTTGTCTAATCCCTCCCTCTGGTGCTCTTGGTCTGCTGTCTGTGCAGCTAGCCCCTGCTGAGGGTTTAAAGCTTCTCAGAAGTTAAGCAGCATCAGGCCTGCTCACTGCTTGGAAGGGAGACCAGTACAGATTGCTTTGGTGTGTTTGTGGGGGGGTGCTCTTCCCTTTGATCCAGGAAGCTCTATCTCCTCAAACTGAGCTTACAGAGCAGTCCCATTGCACTCCTTACAAGAGCCTGGGGCAGGTCGCACGAGCACTTCCCTCTGAGCTGTTCAAAGATCTTTCCAAAACCCTGGGTGGGGGAAACTGAGGCATAGCTTGTCCAAGATCACACATTAGTGGGGGATGGAACCTGGGATCCCTGAGCCCATCCGCATGGTGTCTCAGCGATGCCTCCCCCCGCAGCCTATGAGCCAGCTGGGGGTGTCCACTCCTGCTGCAAGCTGCGCTGGCAAAGAAGGTGGCTGTAATTGAGGTCAGTCCAAGCAGATGCCTCAGGCCCCCCCTGTTGGGAGCACCCTGCCCCAGATATGCTGTGCCAACCCCTTCCTATTTGTGGGTTCCTGGGCCCATGTCTCAGCTTGATGCCAGTGGCGCAGGCATGGCAGAACTACATCTCCCATGATGCACCTGGACACAGCCCTCAGCTGTTCAGTAGCATTGTAGGAGAAGTGGGCGGCTAGGGTTATGGGGACAGGCAGCCATGCAGGCTGGAGAGGCACATCCAGTTGGAGCAAGGGTCCTGTGAAACGTGTACCTGAGCAAAGCCTGCTGGGATTGCTCCCACTGTGGTTGGGAGTTGCTTGCTGTCTGCGGCCCAGCTGATGAAGGAGGGAGTTGGTTCTGATTCGGAGGGGGGAGGTGTTAAGTGATGAGCCCAGAGGCACCGAGAATCTGCCAGGACTCCGTTCACATGCAAGGATCTCTTTGGGCATTGCCCGAGCAACAGGCAGTGAAGGGGACAGGGCTGCATGTGTGGCAGGGAAGCGTCTCATGTTGCTGCCCAGACTGCACTTGCTCTAGCTAAACAGAGAGCTGCAGGCTCCAGGCCTGTGGATCTGACACTACCCCAGGCCTGGTGCTAGCTGCACCACCTCGAAACCGAGATATGTTGTGTGACTCTTTGCTAATCAGGGAAGGAATAGAGTAGTCGATTAACTGATAAGCCAAAGCTTGTAGGTTAATGCTATAGACTACATGCATTCCTCCCTCCCCCCAACTGGTGTGTGGCCTGGCTCGCATTGAGTCTGGGACCTACCCCCACAATGGCTCTGCATCTAAAGTGTATTAGGAGCCAGGCGGCAGGCAGCCTGGCTCGGGGCAGGGCTGGGAGTTCAGATCCTGCCCTGGACAGGGGCTGCTGCCACCCCACACTGCTGCTTCTGCATAGGGCGACAGGCAGCTGGTCTGTGAGGGGAACTGGTTTTTAAACTGGCTCCCCTCATGGACCAGCTCCCACCTGGCACTCCACACTGCTGCTTCTGATACGGAGGCAGCTGCACAGAGGGGCAGGAGGCTCCTTGGGAGTGGGGCTGGAGGGCACCGACTGCTGGCTCCACTGCCGGGGACTATAGAATAGTCACGTAACCAATAAGAATTCATGAGGTTAATCGACTATTCAATTAACCGATATTTAATATCCTTACTGCTAATAATGCCTGTGGCCCTCCCAGCATCAGATGCCTGCTCCCACCCCCCAGTCCCTGCCCAATCCCCTTCTAGAAGTTACCAAATGAAAATAATACCTGGTTTAAAACAAACAAAATCAAGTACTCCTTCCTGCAATGCATTGTCAACCAGTGGAACTCCTTGCCAGAGGAAGTTGTGAAGGCCAGGACTTTAACAGGGTTCAGAAAAGAACTAGATAAGTTTAAATAAATAAATTAATGGAGATTGCCTATCTCCTAGAACTGGAAGGGACCTTGAAGGTCATTGAGTCCAGTCCCCTGCCTTCACAGCAGGACTAAGTCCCATCCCTGACACATTTTGCCCCCAATCCCTAAATGGCCTCTGCAAGGATTGAACTCACAACCCTGGGTTTAGCAGGCCAATGCTCAAACCACTGAGCTATGCCGCCCCCCGTATGGAGACTAAATAAGTCCATCAATGGCTATTATCTGGGATGGTGTCCCTAGCCTCTGTTTGTCAGAAGCTGGGAATGGGTCCCAGGGGAGGGATCGCTTGACGGGTCCTAGTTCTGTTCACTCCCTCTGGGGGAGGCATGGTAGATGGGGCTTTGTAGGTGGGTGCGAAGATGGGGTCTCTGCCCCCAAAGGACTTAGCAGGGTGAGTGTTAGAGGAATGTGTGGAGTGGATGCGCAAGGAGGCGGGGTGGGGGCACATGGCTGGATGCTGAAGCCCTCCTTTCCCTTCCCTCTCCTGAGTCCCACATTGAAACATAGGACTGGTAGGGACCTCAAGAGGTCAACTAGTCCAGTCCCCTGCCAAGGGGGGCTGTCCTAACGGGTCACTAACCTGCTGGTGCCAGATGTGCTGCACAGAAGTGGAAGTGGCTTGACCAAGCACCCTCCCCCCAGCCAGTGCAGATAGGCCTTAGGGTTTGCACATGCTTGTGAGCAGAAACTGGGGTGGGGAGGACGTGGGGGGCAGGAGGGTTGGCTAGAGGCAGTCGGGCTGTGAGGCTGATTTCTGTGACATGCTCCCTTGCCTATAGGGAGCTGGGCTGAGACCTAAAAGGGTTACAAGGAAGAGGGAACAAGTTGCCGGGGGGGTTGTGGAATCTCCATCGCTGGAGATAGTTAAGAGCAGGCTGGACAGACACCTACCAGGGATGATCTAGACGGTGCTTGGTCCTGCTGTGGGGGCAGGGACTGGACTCGATGACCTCTCGAGATCCCTTCCGGCTCTAGTGTTCTATGATTCTGCCCCGCTCAAACAGCTGCTGCGACTGTCCCTCGGGCAGGCGGCTCCGTCTCGCAGCACCGGGTCTGTGCCACCCGCCGAGCGCCCGGCGTGCCGATGGGAGGAGGGTGGGACTAGTCCAGAGTCCGGGGCAGGCACGGTGGGCCAGGCCGTGACGAGTTAATGAGCTGACATGTCCCTTCCTCGCCGGGCAGGTCTCTCTGGGAGGGACGGCAGGAGACGGGATGGATGATCGGAAACCGCCCAACCAGGCCAAAGACTGTGAGGTGCCAGGTGAGTCTGAGGCAGTGAATGGAGCCAGACAGGGCATCGTTGGGGGCACCCATTGCAGCTGTGCTGGAGGCTGGTGGCTGCCCCAAGCCGGTGCCAGGGGCTGCATATGGCCTGACAGGAGTGCACTGGGCAAAGGGTTCGCCTTCTGGGGTCTCGTTGAGTTTGGGGGCACATGTCCCCACTTCCTTCCCACAGGAACAGCCAAGGGAGCCACATTTGACCTGGGGTTTCGGGGCTTTGTTACATGGGAATTGCCAGGTCTTATGCGGTCCCAGCTTACCTGACACACCTTCCCCTAAAGAGTCGGGTCAAGAGGTTAGAGCCCGGACTCCTGGGTTCTAGTCTCACTGGCAGTGCCTCAGTTTCTCCATCCGAGCAATGGGTCTGAAGTTAGCCCAGCCCTGTCTCCAGGGGGCAGCGGTGAGCTGTGGGTGAAGAGCCTGGAGGGGCTGATGGAGGAACAATCCATGGCGTGTTGGAGACATGGCTGGTGAAGCAGGCAGCCCGCTAGGCATTACCCAGTCCTGATAGGGGCTCTGTGGGGCTGGGCTGTGTCCCGGGGGCTACCTGGGATGCCAGAGAGCTGTGGGGTGTGGTTACAGGGATTCCCCAACGGAGGGACAAGCCCCAGGAGCCCTGAAGGCACGAGGTGGTGCCTGTGCTGAGCCACGGCCCGGCTGGTGGCAGGGGCTGTCCTGTGCTGGCAGCGGGGGGTGATCGGTGTAGCAGTGGGGGGCACCGTTGCTGATGGGGCAGCTCTCCCGTTGCAGCCGACGGGGGCACGAGTTCAGAAGAGCGGGGCGGCGCGGAAGGAGACCCCCTGAAGCCCCCGGAAGGGGTCCCTGCTGCCCAGGAACCGGAAGCCAAGGAGCTGCCCCAGGCCTGCAGGTGCAAGCGGTTGGGGGATGGGACGCTCGTGATGCTGGGCGGGGCAGAGCCAGGGGTTGGGTGCTGTGATTTGGGGCAGGGGCTGGATGTGGGAAGTGGATCGTCCCACTTTGGGTATGGGGGGGGGGGTGCCACAGAACCCCGGAAGGGGTCCCTGCTGCCCAGGAACCGGAAGCCAAGGAGCTGCCCCAGGCCTGCAGGTGCAAGCGGTTGGGGGATGGGACGCTCGTGATGCTGGGCGGGGCAGAGCCAGGGGTTGGGTGCTGTGATTTGGGGCAGGGGCTGGATGTGGGAAGTGGATCGTCCCACTTTGGGTATGGGGGGGGGGGTGCCACAGAAAGGTCCAG